CTCCCCCAGTCAGCAGCTTGCCATTCCTGCAAACAGGAACTTGGTTATGGCTTCCAGGTTTGGGTGTTGGCTCTGGAGCTGGATTTTCCATCTTCCCAAATCCAAAGCGCTTTTAGTTGAAGCATTTGGAAAAAAAAAATAAAAAAAATAAGAGTTGACTATTTCCCTCCCCCTGAGCTCATGAGCACATCCATTTCTCAGTGGAGGCACTGTCCGCTCTCAGCACACAGGGGCCTCTTTGTTCAGGGCTCAGAAGCCAAGGCAGAAGGGACGGACGAGGCTGCGAGCCCCAGCCCGACACAATCCCCTGTGTGCAGGGTGGTACCCGCACAGGGCCCCTTCCCAGGGGGCTTTCCTTCCGAAGACAGATGTTACAGGTGTTTCAGCTCAGAGCGTGAATGGCATGACTTGCTCAATCCTGCTTTTGGGTTTGAGTAAGAGCACTGGCCTGCTGCAAAGAGGAGATATTAAATATATTCTGCTGGATGCTGAGAGGTCTCCACAGAAAAAAACCAAGGTGTCTGAAGCGTAAAAGGTCTTTACGTATCACGACAAAGAAAGGAATCTGCTTGTGAGCACAACCCTTGCTGTTTGTTTGCATCCAGCGGTGGCTGATGCTGCCTGTACTTCATGTTTGCCAACCAACCCCCTTCTCCAGCAGCTCCTGCACCCAACTCCTTCACAGCAGCATCATTACTGGGGCTCTCCAGACTCCACCACCCAAAGATCTCCAGTGGCAATCATATACATACATGTACCTATGCCTGCTGTGTGTACATGGACCACATTTTCCTATTAAGCCTTCTCTTTGGAAAGGGTAGAAGACAGGCAGTCAGAACTGGCTAAAGACTGTCATTAAAGTCTCAAATCCAGCTTCTGTAGCATGCAAATCACTTTCCTCTTTCCTCCTGCCATGGTCAGCACAACCTGTCCAGACAAAGATTACAGGAGCCGAGAGATCAGAACTGCTCCATGGCAGCAAAGAGGTGGCACGGTGGCTTTCATGGCTGTCCAAAGGCTTTGCTCCACACTGAAGGCAGAGGTAACTCGAGGTGTCCTAGCTCAGCATGTTCCTCAGCCAGTGGGAACATGCCTGAAATAACTGGCACGGGAATAGGACCAAGGAGTTTAGCATCCTCCTTGGGTGAAAGGCCAACTGAACATGAAAGGAGTTGTAAAAAAAATGGCTTTGCTGGTTTTGTGACTGCACCTTCAGTTTGCCAAGCTAGACCATAAGAGCTCGAGTGAAATCACAGCTGTTCTCCTACGGAAGGTCTCCAAGAAAGTGAGAAGAGAGACAGAAGAGGGAAGCAACTTCAAAAATAAACCCTTACTTACGTTAAGACAGACACTGCAAGGTACAAGCTTTCATCGGCTCTCACCTCAGTGACTGACCAAAGAACTACAGAGCACCAGGAAACGCAAGAGAACTCCCTCTGCCTACAAACAGGCCCAGCTGATTAACCACACCTTGTTAAAAGGGACCCCTAGCAGCAAGCATAACTTCTTCTTTCTTTCCAAAGGGATGATCAATACTGACCATCACAACAGCGGCAGCAAATCCTCAAGATCACTTTAATGCGAGCAACTGCTCAGCTGGGGAGACTCAAAGAAACACTCTCTGCACCCTGTCCTGGGTTTCTTTTAGAACTGTTTAATGCCCTGCAATTTTAGAGAGCTCTGCCTGCCTTGACCGCTATAATAAACACGTATCAATCTCTTTCAAATTTAATAAATAGACATCCTAAACGCTTTGTCTGGATCTGCTTTCTCCATTCAATTAACAGAACACAATACCAATGAATTATTAAACAGAAATACAAGCCAGAGCTTTCACAGACACGCTCTACTCCAATGGCAATTTATTACAAATTAATAGCATGCTGCATCTCCTCCTCCATCGTGAGAGCTGGGAATCAGCTGCACTGTCAAGCTATACCAGCCACAAAAAGCTTCAGAGCTGCCATAAAACACCAAAATCCCGAGCCCAAATAAACCAGGGGTGGGAGAGGGGAGCAGGAGGAGGGGTGGACAACTGACAGAAAAACAGAAGTCACTTCTCCTCTGAGTGGTTTTTACTCATGAAACAACACAGTTTGTATAAGAACAATTGGTCTTTTCAAATCTTTGCTTGTATCAGCACCCAAAAGCAAGCTCAGTGTGCAGGGCTGACAACACGGTGCATGCTCGCTGCTGCATGAAAACAAGGCTGAAGTTTAAGATAAGCACCACCATGAACAGAATTGATTTAATGTGCAAGTATGATAATTCATATTTGCATATTTAAGATTACATCTGCTCAGCAGGAGGCTGCCAATGTTTTTCACGCCCTGCCCCTAACAACACACTTATTCCCAAATGACCCTCAAACGCTCAGAGACGGAGCCCAGACTGAAAAAAACAAGATCTTTTTCTTCAGCAAAGTTCAAACGCCAACCAGCCAGAAAGATACTTTACATTTCACCAAAGTATTGCTCTGGAAGGACACAACAAGCCCATCGAGAGCAATGCGGGGATTGTCACCTACTGGACCATGAGTTGAGAGCTTGTTCAACATCCTTCTTGCTAGACATCATCTGAGCACGTGGATCCTCCAAACAGTTGGAGTGAAGGTAAATGCATTAGTGCCCAGCTTTGGGAAGACGTCACGCTGCAGCAGGCACACAGACATCTCTGGCAATGCGTCAGCCAAGAGTCAGCCCTTTGTCTGCACAGCAAATCCCCGCAAAACCACAGGTGAGAGCAGGCACCAAACCAGGACGGATTTTCCCTCAACGGCTTTTCTGTTTCCAACCTACATTTAGGAAGGCACCTTTCCTGATAAGCAGAAAAACATGCAACCACCGCCACCACAGCTGCTGTACCATTCTCCTCAATTCTATTTTTCAACGCACTCAACCTTGTCTTCTGTCCAACACAGAGCAGGGGATTTCAGAAAAAACAAACCCAACCTGTTGTCACCAAGTGATTTCTCAGCTTGGTTAACCCCTGTGGCACCCAATTTGGTGCCTCTATGTCCTGTCTTCCAGCCCAGCAGCAAACTCACCTCCATTTTTGATAGCTCTGATCCCCCGATGGAAATCTTCGAAGCTGATGACTCCAAGCCCGCTCGGATCGAGGTACTTCGTTAGGTCCTTTACCTGCAACCACAAAAGCAGTGTTACCCACAGAGCCCTTTGGGGAAAGAGCATCTTCCATCAGAGAAACACCTCGTAACAAGTTTTTCCTCCTTGGAGCTTACAACTGCAAATTTCTTAAACTGACACCAAACTGTGGCCATTCTCCTTGAAAGGAACATTAATAATCAGCACAGAGGGGGTTAATTAGTACTTGGCTGGTGCCAAAATTATTGCTTGGTCTTGAAACATAGGTTAGGGCAGTATTTCTTGCAACGTGGTCCTTCTCCACTAGGGATATTTTTGTTTTAATTTTTTTTTTTAGGAGGTCCTATCTTAATTGGGAAAACTCAGTAATAGGCTGCCCAGTAGGAGGGCCCAATTAAGAGGATTCGGTGATAATGAACTGTTCCATGTTACAAATTTAGGCCACATAATTGAAACATTTTCACAATTAGACAATGCCCGAGGGGGAAGGAATCACGCCAGCTAGCGAGGATGAGGATGCTGGTGCCGGAGCAGGCACAAGCGTGGAGTGAGGGACGCTTGTGAGACCTGACGAGGGTGAACTGGGCTCTTCAAGCAGGACAGGCCACAAAGCTGAGGGAAAAACCACAGTCACTCCTCATGGTCCAAACAAAGTCTTCAAGAAGGTGTATTTGGTCCCTTCCTTCCAGGCTGCCACAAGCCTGCCCTCCAGAAAACCCTTTACATTGCTGATGCTTCTCAAGCTGAGAAAAACAGATATTTGCTTTAAAAAAAACCCCACAAAACCCACAGACCTTCATTTTAAGAGCTATTGAGGCACCTTTGTCTATCATAGAGCCAAATCCTTCAGCTGAGAAACAAGCCCAGGAGGAAGCAGGGTGTAAGAGGTGAAAGAAGGAATTGCACAATTAGGTCCCTACTCAAAAGGCAGCACTGCCCTGGTCCTGGCAAACACACAGACCTCTCCTCCTCCTCAGCTGACGCACAGGACGAAGCCTCCAGGCGGTTCGCAATGCCCAATTTGTTCAGCTCTCCCTAGTACAACCGGTTGCCTTTTGACTCACTTGGGTGATCCCTTGGTTTTGGTTTGTTCTTAGGGGGGGGCGGGTG